TGAAGAATTGATAAACCTGACATTGCCTTTCTTTACAAAAGCTATCATGTATCTGATGTTTTTGCAATTTTGCTATTTTGGTGGAAAACCATGGAAAAACAATTTGCTCTGTGTGGACCCGGGAGCATTGCGTTGCTGGATGACTCAATGAGAAGGGTCAAACATGAGTCAAAGTGCAAATCTATGAGAACACCCACGTGTCATCACAAATCATGCCATTCCATGGCAGTTTGGTTCACTCCACGTCGCCTCGTCGAAGTCTAAACCGGCACAAACCCGGCAAAGAGCCTGGCGCGCGAAAGGACCAAAACAGCCCCAGGACAAAACCAGCATTATGCATGGAACATTAGGATTTGCTTCGGGCGTGAGCCAAATGTCGTTCGGGAGCGGTCGGGGGTCTTCGTTGATCAAGCTGGTGGCAAAGTAAAAAATGGCATGGACGTGGCATGCCTAAATCTAAGTACTGCTGACAGGATCTTGCTGAAAAATTATTTGTCGAACTGCTTTGAAGCGCCCTTTCTTCCTTGACGCCTGCGCAAGTCAATCGAGCTGCACAAGCTCCTTCGATGATGGAGCCCGGAACCCAGAGCCCGGAGCGACCAACCGCAAGGAGGACCCGGCGCGGCGGACGCTCAGCAGATCGAAGGCGATGCCCGAAGCGAGGTTCGAAATCCGGATTGCCTTTCTCCAACCACGGCCTTTCAAGCTGCCATCTTCCTTTTTTGCAAATTCCCACTCTATAGTGTCTTCCCAACTGCCCACTTGAAACCTCCACTTCACCAGGACGGGCTCGCTCACGTAACGATACAGCGAGGCCTTGTTTGGCGAAGCCTTGGGAACCAAACAGAGCCACGCCGCGACGCCGGACGCCCCGAGCTGGAACTTTTCGCTGAGCTGCCGCTGACCTTCGGTGAAGTTGGTGAAGTCGTAGCCTGACAAATCCCATGTCAAGTGCCACACAGAAGGTTTGATAGCTTGCTGAGCCTTCTCAAGCTCTTGGCATCTTTTGCTGAGTTGCTTGCACTCTGCCTCTTGAGCCCTCTGAAGCTCTTTTGTTGTTTGTTGAGCCTTCTCAAGTTCGTTGCACTTGCCTCGGATACTTCCAAGAAGGTTGCACAGCATCAAGGATGCATCGTCGTTTGTGCGATCTAGATAGTGCGCATATGTGACGGCCCCATAAAATTTGTCTTCCTTCTCATCTGCAGAGAAGGCTTCTGCAGCGGCAACAGCTACCCGAGCTCCATCTGCTCGTCGGTTGGCCTTTTCGAGCATCTTTGCAAGAAGCATGAGCTGCGAGCCACGCAAATTCTTGAGACTTTCTTGCTCAAGGGATAGTTTGGATAGCACCTCTGCAGGAATGTCCTCGTTCTCTAGTTGTACGTTCAGAAGCAACCCTTCTAAATGCTTGCTGTCGCTTGTCGTGCGTTGGCGCAACATACATCGACAAATCTGCTTCGACAGGGCACGACACACACGTGCATCAGAGTCATCAATGCCATGCGCTTCAACAAGCAAGTCCAGCTTCGCCTCATCTTTGTCGTCGTCCATGCGCGAGGCCAGTTCGACAAGAATGGATGCCGAATTGCTGGGTGGCCACTTCTCCAAGGTGGAAATGCCAAGGTCGGAACCGAAAAAGTCCCTCGCGAAGGAAGTGGCGCTCTCTTTGCTTTGCAGGAAAGTGCAGGCATGGTGGAGCAATTTCGTGTCAAGCTGTTCCAGTCTCGCTGTCAGTCTACCATGGAAACCTGCCAGCATTAAAGATGCTGCTTGCACCCAGTCTTGGTCACCATGGTTATCCTTTTGTTGGAGAAGGAAGTCCCCAAAGGAAACCCAAGCGCTCAGCTTGTGCGTCTGCGATCGCCGAATCTGTGATTCTGCGAGTAAGCTCCTTGCAGACCAAGATCCTGTGGGGGCCTGGCACACTCAAGGATTTGATCATATCCTCATCTACTTGGCGAAGGAACCACAGAACCTCTTGCCCGTCCATGTCTGCCAACAACTCCTGAAGTTGTGACATGTCTCTAACCTCTAGAAGCATAGGCACGAGTTCTTCAATGACTGCACGACGATTTCCTGGCGGCATCCGCTTTCCCCGAAAGAGCAGCAACGAAGACAGCTTCTTCTTGGCAGATGCATCGGGCAAGGACGCACGGACAAACTGCTCACCTCTCGAAAGCAATTTCAGCGCATCGTCAGTCGGTACTTGAGAGGCCACGGGCAAAATCTCCTGAACTGTTTTCTCCTTGTATGCGATAACCGCGGACTTCATGCGCTGACTGGGGTTGAGCACCTCAGTTCCACGCACATGCGTCGTTGCACGACCTGCTTTTAATTTATACCCTGTGTTAGCCATCAGTCAACAGAGCGCAGGCCCAACTAGGGAGTAGGGATGGAGTTCAAAGCTTGGTCATATTCGGTTCCGACAAATCAAAATGGACAAAATATGTGCTTCAACGTTTTCGCCATGGCTCATGAGTCGACAAAGTCTCACGAGTGGTTGGGCTGCCCGAGTTCGACTGAAACCACTCTGCGATGCAACGCCTTTCGTAAGTGATTCCATCTGCCGCGACCACAGGATCTTCCATCAACTCCTGGGATATGGGACAGCAAAGCTCAGGAGGATCCTCCACAAGTCGCTTCACCTTGGGTGAGGTGTGCGACACTGGTTCTTTTACCTCTGATCGAAGATCACGCGAAGGTCAGCGCAGATTTGTCAACTACAATCTGTCTGCTTGAATGCGCAGCGAAACACTTCTAAAATGCTGCGAGCAAGTTGCCCAGGCAGTCCAGCCATGCCCCACTTCAGTGCTGCTTTGGCTGTCCTGTCTGCAAGCATCCGAAAGAGAGTGCGAGAGAGCCTAGTGCTTCGCCCCAATGTAACCACCAAAGGTACACACAATTCCTGGATCAAATCCAGGATCCTCCTCAACCTCTGGCCTTTCAGAAAGTGCAATTCCACTACCACTGAACTCAAAACAGACGACTCTAGCGTATACACGCGGGCCTTAGTGGAGTATTGAGAACTTCTATCCGACCCAAGTGGAAAATTGCCGGGTCATAGTTGGTGTCCTTTCCAGATCGCATCAGCTCGAGCGTCTTTACGATTTCCACAGCTTCCACGTTCCACACGTCTGCAATGGCGTCCACCGACATTCCCTTCTGGCCTCAGCGGCACGGGCAGAGCAAGCAAAGGTCAATAGGATTTGGGGTGAAGAAGAATGAAACATGACGTAGGTGTGGAGGGTGTGGAGTGTCCACAGCGTTGGATGGAATGGAGCCGTTTTAAACAAACTTAAAAAGTAGTAGTACTAGGGCAAAGATGTGTAATCTCCGGGAAGGGACACTTGAAAAAGACAAACCTTCATAGCTGCCCTCCTCCAATCTGAGACAACCCCACAACATCCACACACTTTCTGATAGCCAAAGTGAGGAGCATGAAACATAACCTAACGGTAGATATCTGTAGGTCAAAGTTCCCGATATCAAGAGTGGAACCTCCAAGCGTCGTCATCGTCATCGCCGCTTGCTGCACACCGGCGGACGCCTCAACCAGCTCCCAGCCGAGTTGCTCATGCGGAGGATCATGTTTTGGGAATCCGCTCGGCTGATCCCCTGGCGCCAGCAGCGATGGGTGAGGAGTCTGGGGAGGCGTGGCCTCGGTCATGTGACCCATCTGGCCAACAGTTTGCTCCCCACACTGCAAGTATTGCATGGTCATGAGTCATGGTGGAAAAAAATCGGCTAAGTAATAGCTCGACTATTGCAAAGTAGGCGAACCATGGTAAATCAACCCAAATCACAAGTCTATTCGTTCGGCCAATCCCTATACACAAACGCCCAGCGCGTCGTGAGACCTTCTCCGGTGACGCTGATGACTCGCTACGAGTAGCTGGCTCCTGGCATCGGTCTCAAGGTGCTGAATAGACTACAGTCAGCTCCTAAACACGCTTTTTTCCCCACATAGAAAAATCGAAAGTGAACCTTCAAAAGGATAGGACTTTTGACTTGTGCTCCACCTTTCTCTCCGAGGACTTGTGGCTCCACCGCTCTCGCAGTTTGAGGGGAAGATACGGGAAGTCTGGCCCTCCGAGGCTCGAATTGCTCGGCGGAATACGTCTCTGGAGTCGGGAGCATTCTGGTAGGACCCTGTATCGAATCGAGCAAACAGGACGTCATGTGGCCTTATGTGGCATCTGGTATACTCCTGTCTTGTTTCCAGGAAAAAGACAACTTCCTGTCCCCAATAGATGAGCCTCCTCCTCCTCCTCCTCGGCGGTCCTCCATTCTTCGCATCTTGGCTGGCCGGTCCAGTGGCATCGGGTCCACGAGATCTTCCACGCTGGGCGTCTCCTGAAACGACCACGTACGGGTCCAACGGTTTTTTGTTGTGAAGACACAAAAAAAACTTCTTCACCCCGAGTGTGGTAAGGCTTTCCCAAGAGTCTATTGGAATGTGGAGCATTCCGATAAAAGGGTCGATGATATGTCTGACTTGGAAATTTGCCCCGATTGCAAGCCGCAGCCGTCCTCGGCCTGTGGCACATGCGTTGGAGCCTGCAACAGCGGCACATCCAAGGGATCACAAAAAGATATAAGCACCCGACACCTGACCTGACCACCAACCCCAAAATCTCATTCCTTCATCGGCCAAAGGAGGACAACCAAGCATCCCTGCATCGGAGCTTAGTCTTAATTTCAAAGACGAACTTTGACGCCCCAGGCCTCCTCCATCTTTCATCAAAGCTCTGGAAGGTTGAGGAGATCTCCACCGCACTTCGAAGGAGCTCCAAAATGGCTTCGAAAGGAAGCAGTAAATCAAGGAGCAACAAAGCACGACAAACCATTCTGATCCAGTCTGATATGCTCGAAAACAACCACCTAGTGAGTTCTCGACAAACTTGATGTTTCTCCCTTTCTTCTTGACGTCAATCCCCGCGCTTTCTCTGAAGCGCTTAAATATGTGGAAATACCTACTTACGCAAATGCGACAGCTGGCGCATTAACAGAAACATGGATTCAGTTTTCTCATGACAATCACTACCTTGAAGGGAAGTTGCGGAAGGCTTGCCGCAACTTGACGCTGTTCAGCTATCTCATGAACTTTCCGTCACATGGCAATGTTGCCACGCTTCTTCTTCTTCTATTATTGAATTGTTTCTTCTTCCATTTCTTCTAGCTCTTCTTCTAGTTCTTCTTATCATTATTGTTATTACTATTGCTATTCTTGCCGGGTCAGTGCGATATGTTACCAGAACTGGGGAGGGCAACAATGCAATTCCTTGAGATACAAACTGTACCTGAACCACTTTCGTTTCTCATGACAACGTGGACTGCAAGTAGTCCGCTTGCTTGAGTCACAACTTCAACTGGATGGTTTAGCCTCTATAGTCCTTGAATGGTTTTGAGATGGCATGAATGTCACTTGACACTTGACACTTGACGTCAAAAGGGTCTTACGAACAACCTTTTGAGTTCGTAGTTCATTCATGCATATGTGTCCATCGAATCATGTTTTGCACCATCAACAAGGTCCACTCTTCTCCAACCGCCCCTTGCGAAACGGAGCGAGGCATCACCTGCCTTCTAGAGGCTCATGAGGAAAAGCGTGT